GAGGATGTTTTAGATTTAGATTCCTCTGAATAACAAAGCACATGTGATTTAAATATCTGTCATGTAAAGGATGTTTTATGTGACAATATCAGACTCCAGATGGTAATATTTAGATATCTGTCATGTAAAGGATGTTTTATGTGACAATATCAGACTCCAGATGGTAATATTTAGATATCTGTCATGTAAAGGATGTTTTATGTGACAATATCAGACTCCAGATGGTAATATCATGTAAAGGATGTTTTATCTGACTCATGTATCTGTCAAGATGTTTTATGTGACAATATACTCCAGATGGTAATATTTAGATATCTGTCATGTACAAGATGTTTTATGTGACAATATCAGACTCCAGATGGTAATATTTAGATATCTGTCATGTACAAGATGTTTTATGTGACAATATCAGACTCCAGATGGTAATATTTAGATATCTGTCATGTACAAGATGTTTTATGTGACAATATCAGACTCCAGATGGTAATATTTAGATATCTGTCATGTAAAGGATGTTTTATGTGACAATGTCAGACTCCAGATGGTAATATTTAGATATAGATATCTGTCATGTACAAGATGTTTTATGTGACAATATCAGACTCCAGATGGTAATATTTAGATATCTGTCATGTACAAGATGTTTTATGTGACAATATCAGACTCCAGATGGTAATATTTAGATATCTGTCATGTACAAGATGTTTTATGTGACAATATCAGACTCCAGATGGTAATATTTAGATATCTGTCATGTACAAGATGTTTTATGTGACAATATCAGACTCCAGATGGTAATATTTAGATATCTGTCATGTAAAGGATGTTTTATGTGACAATATCAGACTCCAGATGGTAATATTTAGATATCTGTCATGTACAAGATGTTTTATGTGACAATATCAGACTCCAGATGGTAATATTTAGATATCTGTCATGTACAAGATGTTTTTTATGTGACAATATGTACAGACTCCAGATGGTAATATTTAGATATGTCATGTACAAATATGACAATTCAGACTCCAGATGGTAATATCTGTCATGTACAAGATGTTTTATGTGACAATATATCTGTCATGTACAAGATGTTTTATGTGACAATATCAGATATAATTAGATATCTGTCATGTACAAGATGTTTTATGTGACAATGTCAGACTCCAGATGGTAATATTTAGATATCTGTCATGTACAAGATGTTTTATGTGACAATATCAGACTCCAGATGGTAATATTCCAGATGGTAATATTTAGATATCTGTCATGTACAAGATGTTTTATGTGACAATATCAGACTCCAGATGGTAATATTTAGATATCTGTCATGTACAAGATGTTTTATGTGACAATATCAGACTCCAGATGGTAATATTTAGATATCTGTCATGTACAAGATGTTTTATGTGACAATATCAGACTCCAGATGGTAATATTTAGATATCTGTCATGTACAAGATGTTTTATGTGACAATATCAGATGGTATCTGTCATGTCAAGGATGTTTTATGACAAGACTCCAGTCATGTACAAGATGTTTTATGTGACAATATCAGACTCCAGATGGTAATATTTAGATATCTGTCATGTACAAGATGTTTTATGTGACAATGTCAGACTCCAGATGGTAATATTTAGATATCTATCGTGTTTTATGTGACAATATCAGACTCCAGATGGTAATATTTAGATATCTGTCATGTACAAGATGTTTTATGTGACAATATCAGACTCCAGATGGTAATATTCAGATATCTATCGTGTTTTATGTGACAGTATCAGACTCCAGATGGTAAGATTTAGATAATGATTATCTCCCTCTTCATGATCTTGCACAACTGTTTTAAAAGAGGTGTAGTTGTTTTACATTGGCAGGGCACACATTCAAGGCATATAACACAACACTAAACAAACATGGTTGCAACTTATTTACCAACTGTTGGAATACTTCCAAGCTAATGTTGCCTTTATCTTTAGGAGTGTGTTTAGGAATTGGAATACAGGTCAAATTAGTGCATTTCATATCAGTTTACACTGCTATTAAGTAGTAACGAAAGGTTTTTTAAACAAGTTCATATCAAGACGATGTGTCTAATTTCATCTTGAAAGACTATACCATACCCATTACAGAGACAGAGTTTTGAAATATACACATATGAAATGATGTCTTTCTCCTCGCCTCGACAGTCATTGTTAATTACTCTGAAAAGATTAGAAAGAAGATGTTAGTGTCGCTTATATTTGTTCAAATTGCTGAAATTACCCTACACAAGTTGTGATGTAATATACATGATTTAAAATTCAAGATGGCCACTTTAGTTTCTGATTGGCAGAGACCATGTCCACTTATTTCTCAAGTTTCATTGGGTCAGTTAAGAAATTCATATTTATCCCAATTTATATCTGATATCATTATTCTATTTCTTTGATTTATATTTTTTACTTGTGTTCAAAATGTAACATTGAATTATAATGTAAAATGCATGGTGTGTATAAAGAGATGAAACATGGGGTGTCCCCATCATAGGTCGGATTAAACAGATTACCATGTTGATACCTTCTAATAAGCCTATCCATTGCTGTTCAATAGAATTCCCTTCTAATTCTCTATCTTACTTTGCATTAAGCCCACCCCTGACTTTGTGCCTGAACTTGTGTGTTTATGGAAACTAATGGATAGTGTCAATGCCCATGTAGATCTGGCTAGTGACTCCGTGTCAGACAGTTGATGTATGATTCTTCTGAATCTTGAAATACTTGTAAGTGTTGTGATTTTTGCCTTTCAGAAACCACTTAACTCTCTGTATTTCTTCACCCACAAGCCAGTTATAATTGATCTTTTTGTTATGAATATAAATGTACATCAAGGTGACCTATGCTGTGTGTGTTTGATAAATGTTTGGTTCCCCACTGACATGCTTACCATATTCCTTATCATAGGATGGTGAATGGTAGATTATTATCAGTAATTATGATGCAGAAAAATTTCTGAATGAATATTCTGATGGGCCCTTGTTAAATAAGGAGTTAACACCCCTCTTATCATCTGTCTGATGACAGTCATTGATATCAACAGCTCTTCAAATATGCTGGAATAATTAACTCAGGATTGAGGGGCTATGTAAATACTTAAACAGCGCAGAGAACCACTTAGGTTGTCTTAAGATCCTGTACAGTGGCTATTGGACAGTTGTTAAAACTGTGACACCTTAGTACCACCAGGTAGCAAGAGTCAAGTACTGTTTTGACATATTTTCAAAGATAGATATTTCTCAAATTTCACCTCACCTGAAAAATGAAGTCACTCAAGTACTTCTATAAAGACATCTATGGATTACATGCATCTTGTGCAATTTTTTGCTACCTATTAGGATTGTCAGTTAAATACAGATGTTGAATCAATGAGAAAGTAGAAAATCCCAGTATATATGAACACCTTGAGTACTAAACTGGATCAGTTTATCTGAGAATTATCTCATGCAAACAAGAAATATAAATAAGTTGTTTGCTTTAGATTACTTGATTAAAAGTACTGAACCAGAAGCAGTACATGTGTTTGTGTCTGGACTGATAAGAAAAAAATTCCATTATGATTTACCTGGAGATAAAAAGGTCTGTCAGGTGAGGCAGTTGACTTACCTGTATGATTGCAACCTGCAGTGTCCTCTTCTTAAAAAGCACTGAAAGCTTTACATATCATTTCAATGCAAATTTCTGGGAATTTTATTGAAATATAGAAAATATTGTCCATGTTGTATAAAAGTTAAAATAAAAAAGTTCTTGCCCATACAAGTCATACTCTATTGTTTTGCTAAATTGTGCTGCATGAAAGCTGTTCATACATGACTTCATTGGTATTGTGTTGTATACAGAAATTGTGTTATTAACTTATTATTCACATTGACCAAAATCGATAACCATGGCTAAAGACATGCATTATCTATACTTCTATCAGATATGGTACCTCGCTAGGGAATTCTCAAATGAAATAACAGTAGGATATGTATTGATCGGAAAATAGTTTCACCTGTATCTAAGTTGCGGGTATGTATTGGGTATTCAAAGGATCATTTCAACTGATAAATCTTCACAGTATCATCACTAACCATGGAAGATTAACAATCAGCAAAGTAAATTAAAGATCAGGGTCAAAATGAAGAGCTTAATGTGATTGTATGGAGGATTCCAATACCTGGTATATATTGAGCTCCTCATCCTTAATGAACTTTGTGACATTTACAAGGATATAGGTTTGTTGTCCAGATTAGAAACTGCCTTGTTGTAGAGGTTGTGCTATACGTTTCAATTGAAAAGCATTTTATTAGTCTCCCTATTGAGGGGACTATTTTTTTCGTTGTGCTTGTGACAATCCTCCCTACCTTGTCCGATATCCGCCTCCTACTTGTCACTAGAACTATACTTTGGGTATGGTTTTACTTAGGTAGGGGAGTGTGTCGTGTATCAAAAGTAGGTCACTCTTACCTTCATTATGACGTTGGATCTACATCAAAGAAAAAGATTGTTCGGGCCATATGTCCTATACTATCAAAAGATGGTCACTGTGACCTACATTTTTTCCTTTGACCCACATCAATATACATTCTTTTTTTCAGATTTTACATGGTTAATCTATGTTTTCTGTGACAATAAGAGGTTTGATTTGCTCAATCATTTTTACACATAATTAAGATGAAGTATAAAAGTTGTGCTATCAGACATCATTTCTGTTTCATAATTTGATTTTCCATAAAAAAGTCTGACTTTGTATCTGATTCAATGATTTAAAACTTTTGAAAGTGAATCAGAATCCATAGTTAGAAAAAATGAAACATCAGCTAAAGGAATTGTGATGTTTTACAAAAGATGGTAGTATATGGAAATAAGTGAAAAGATAGTGGTAAAATACACAAGTGAATGACACCTTTTGATACAAATACAAAAAAAAATATATGAGGTCAAATAACAAGTGTAAAAATTGGTTTTTTTCCTTTTGTTTTTAGAGAGAGAAAAATGCTCAGTCCAGTTGTGTGATTTCTATGAGTGGGAACTCTACCACTATAACAGACCCTAATTCAGGACAGTCTAAAACATTTGCATTCGACCATTCCTACTGGTCACACGATGGCTTTGTTGAGGACAAGGATGGAGTCAACATACCCCAAACTGATAACTATGCTGACCAGGTGAGAGAAAACTTGAAATAAAGTCATTTTATAAGCTATGAAAAAAGTTGAAAGATCAATAGACTTTGAATGCCTTTAAGGAAATAAAAAAAGATAAATTCAGGGTTTTGATCTATTAAAATCATTTGCAAGTCAGATATAAGCTATTTAAGTATCATGAACATTTGGTAAGGCCTAATGATTGCATTGCTAACCATTGACCATATGATTCGCTCAATCAGTATGTTCAACATATATTCTTTATTTTGCAGAGACAAGTATTCAATGACCTTGGAAAAGGTGTACTTGATAATGCCTGGCAGGGCTACAATGCTGCCCTTTTTGCTTACGGCCAAACAGGGTCAGGGAAAAGTTACTCAATGATTGGCTATGGCCCTAATAAGGGAATAGTGCCCATCACATGCGAGGAACTGTTTAAGGTCATAGAATCCAACAAAGACAAAGACAAACAGTTACAGGTAAGTTTAGCTTATCCTGGACAGGTGTGGCTGTGAGATTTCTGTGACAGACTCTAGGGGATGAAGGGAGATTTCTGTGTCAGGACAATGGTTTGACATCACGTCAAAAATCCAATAACACTATCAAGTAAACAATGCCAAGCATGTACAAAGGGCCCAAAAAAACTCAAATGGGGAAGAGAAAATAATCTTTCACCCCCTTGAGGGTAAGATAAGTTAAATCAACCCTTAGAATCAGATTATAAAGATGTCAATCGCTTGCCAACTTCAGAATCTTTTCCTTTGATTTGAGATCACTATATATTTCTAGGGTGTGAAAGAATCTCTCAGTATTTAAACAGATTATCATTTTCGGTTTCCATGATGCTTACAACATCACACTTTAATTCTTTAGAGACAGTTTTTTAATGGTTCCCTGCTTGCTTTATAAACAGATATGTAACGAACACTCTATGATAGGATAGTATATTACAAGTGTCTTTCACTGATTGAAGTTGTAGAGAATGTTTATATTTCTAGCTAGTGTTATTAGGTCATCTGACCCGAAGGGTCCGATGACCTATAGTCATCATGCTTCGTCCGTCGTCGTCCGCCGTGCGCCGTGCGCCGTCCGTAAACTTTTCATTCAAACGACTTCTTCTCAAATACTAGAAGGTCTAGGGGGCTAATACTTGGCACAGAGGATACTGGCATGGAGCTCTACCAAGTTTGTTCAAATGAATGACCTTGACCCACTTTAAAGGTCACAGGGGTCAAATATGTTAAAATCTTTAAACAACTTCTTCTCATTAACCAAAAGGCTCAGAGTGTAGATATTGGGCCTGTGACATGCTGGGATGAAGGACTACCAAGTTTGTTCAAATGAACTTTGACCTTGAACAACTTTCAAAAGGTCACAGGGGTGAAGGGCTATCAATATGTCAAAATCTTTAAATAACTTCTTCTCAAATACTAGAAGGCCTAGGGGGCTAATACTTGGCCCATAGCATGCTGGCATGGAGCCCTACAAAGTTTGTTCAAATGAATGACCTTGGCCCACTTTCAAGGTCACAGGGGTCAAATATGTTAAAATATACAAAGGACTTCATCTCAATAAGCAAAAGTCTATGAGTGCCGATATTGGGTCTGTAGCATGCTGGGAGGAAAGGCTACCAAGTTTATTTAAATGAATGACCTCAACCCACTTTCAAGGTCGCAGGGGTCAAATATGTCAAAATCTTTAAATAACTTCTTCTCAAATACTAGAAGGCCTAGGGGGCTAATACTTGGCCCATAGCATGCTGGCATGGAGCCCTACAAAGTTTGTTCAAATGAATGACTTCATCTCAATAAGCAAAAGTCTATGAGTGCCGATATTGGGTCTGTAGCATGCTGGGAGGAAAGGTTACCAAGTTTATTCAAATGAATGACCTCAACCCACTTTCAAGGTCACAGGGGTCAAATATGTCAAAATCTTTAAATAACTTCTTCTCAAATACTAGAAGGCCTAGGGGGCTAATACTTGGCCCATAGCATGCTGGCCTGGAGCCCTACAAAGTTTGTTCAAATGAATGACCTTGGCCCACTTTCAAGGTCACAGGGGTCAAATATGTTAAAATATACAAAGGACTTCATCTCAATAAGCAAAAGTCTATGAGTGCCGATATTGGGTCTGTAGCATGCTGGGAGGAAAGGCTACCAAGTTTATTCAAATGAATGACCTCAACCCACTTTCAAGGTCACAGGGGTCAAATATGTTAAAATATACAAACGACTTCTTCTCAACAAGCAACAGTCCATGAGTGCTGATATTGGGCCTGTAAGATGCTTGGAGGAGAGGCTACCAAGTTTGTTCAAATGAATGACCTCAACCCACTTTCTAGGTTTGGCTTGCTTTTTGTCAGATGACCGTTAAGGCCCATGGGCCTCTTGTATGTGTCTGCCAGTCTAGGTATGTCATATTGACCAGAAATTACACATTAAGACCATTCATTCATTGGTTACATGAAATAATAACTGTATTGTGTTCTATTCCTATAAAATCCCTCTGGAACTATTCTCTAACAAAATTGTTTGTTATCTATAAAGCCTTCCAGGGCACTATATTTCTACAGACACATAGGGTAATTATAGACTGATAGTATCCTACAAACACCTGCCGTTGGTTTGTTTAATTTTTCTGCCCAGTATTTCCTTATTACCAGACCAGTCTGCTTTATTTCATTCAAGTTTTGTATGTATGCAAAGTATATAATACACTGTGTTCCTAATTCTCTACCTTGTATAACTTGACAATCTTTTGGATCAATTCAGCGAATGTGTTGACAATAGGATATTCAGGGTAAATCTTTGATGTGTTGGCAGTGCCTCAATCTTACAGGTTCCTGGAAGTGAGATGAATTGAAATTGTGTGTTCTTATAGCTTGTCATTGTTAAACCAAAATGTTATGTTCTTTTTGTTATGAAGACAGATATCTACTTTGTATGTGTTGAGAACTCCTTTTCAATAAACATCTCAATTCTTATCTTTGTAACATGCATACAACATGGAAATTTGATAATGTGCCATAGATTATTTTGAAAAATCTCCGGTTAAGGTTACAAAGCAAAGATTCGATAATAGTTGATCACAGTTACATGGATTTTTTTCTGGACTGCTTGTTTGGCCATTTGAAATATTGAATTACTGATATTGAATTGATCTAATCTAGTTATATATACCTGAAGAATCCAATACATTGACAGATAGCTATACAGATAATAGGAAATGTCTTAGGGTTTTCAGGACAGTCATCAAGATAAAGAGAAGTTGTAATGTCAGTGAGTTATGTGAAAACACGTTTTTCTGTCTGTCATGTCTGCAACTTTACAAAATTGCAGGTAATAAAGATAACAACAGCTATAAAGTTGTGCATTATAAATCTTTTAATGTTATATTGTAAAGAAATTGTCATAGTAACGAAATGTCATCAGGAAATGCACCAGTTTTCAAGAGATAATTATGATTTATTGTTACAAATATCAAATTTTATGGAAAATTTTACAAGGTATTTGACCCTAATCCCTTGGTAATATCATTATATTGAATAATCAGTCTGGTACACTGCAGTATAACAGAGATCATCATTTATAGCAATGCCTCTGCTAGGATTTCATCCCAGGATCTCTGGCTTACTGGTCAGAAGCTCAACTAATTGAGTTAAATAACAGACAGTAAATTGAAGCTAGTATTGTGACCAGGGTTACATACTCCTAAACAAAGACTATGCATACAAATTATATATTTTGAGTTTCTTTTGAAAATCTCTAGCCAATGTTTTATAAAGGATCCAGGTAATCACCTCATCTTTCTAAAGTACATTTGTTTACTAAAGACTTACCAAGTAAATTAAAATATTAATTGTTTGGCATTGACCTACCAACCTGAAAGTGTACCTCCCACTGAAAAAATTTAAGCTGAATCTCATACCTATCTTTTTAGGTCATCTGACCAAAGGGTCGAGATGACCTATAGCCATCGTGCTTCGTCCGTCGTCATCCGCCGTGCGCCGTCCACCGTGCGTCGTCCGTAAACTTTTCATTCGAAAACCTTCTCAAATACTAGAAGGCCTAGGTGGCTAATACTTGGCCCATATCATGCTGGCATGGAGCCCTACAAAGTTTGTTCAAATTAATGACCTTGACCCACTTTCAAGGTCACAGGAGTCAATTATGTTAAAATATACAAACAACTTCTTCTCAATAAGCAAAAAGCTCAGAATGCTGATATTGGTTCTTTAGGATGCTTGGAGGAAAGGCTACCAAGTTTGTTCAAATGAATGACCTCGACCCACTTTCAAGGTCACAGGGGTCAAATATGTTGAAATTTTTAAACAACTTCTTCTCAACAACCAAAAGGCTCAGAATGCTGATATTGGGTATGTAGGATTCAGGGATGAAGGGCTACCAAGTTTGTTCAAATGAATGACCTTGACCTACTTTCAAGCTCACAGGGGTCAAATATGTTAAAATATACAAACGACTTCTTCTCAATAAGCAAAAGTCCATGAGTGCTGATATTGGACCTGTAGGATGCTTGGAGGAAAGGTTACCATATTTGTTCAAATGAATGACCTTGGCCCACTTTCAAGGTCACAGGGGTCAAATATGTTAAAATATACAAATGACTTCTCTTCAATAAGCAAAAGTCCAAGAGTGCTGATAAAAGGACCTGTAGGATGCTGGGATGACATGCTACCAAATTTGTTCAAATGAATGACCTTGACTCACTGTCAAGGTCACAGGGGTTAAAATATGTTAAAATATGCAAATGACTTCTCAATAACCAAAATGATTAGAGGGCTGATATTGGGCCTGTAGGATGCTTTGAGGAAGGGTTACCAAATGTGTTCAAGTGAATGACCTTGACCCACTTTCAAGATCACAGGGTTCAGATATGTTAAAATCTGTAAATGACTTCTTCTCAGTAACCAAAAGGCTCAGAGTGCTGATATTGGGCCTGTAGGATGCTGGAAGGAAGGGCTACCAAGTTTATTCAAATGAATAAAGCCCACTGTTTTAACAGCAGACTCACTGTTGTTAGAGTTTGGCTTGCTTTTTGTCAGATGACCGTTAAGGCCCATGGGCCTCTTGTTTTATTATCATTATGAATATTGTTTCCAGAATCTTGTATCTCCACTTTTCGAATCTTGCATATTAACATTTTTATGTTTTAATATTATACAAAAGACACACAAGTGAATAACACCTTATTATACAAATTTAGAGTTAGATACAGTAGAGCCAAATAATGATTTAAACTACATCATACAGCTGTTTTGTCATTCTGGGGCTCATCACAGATGCTTAGGGTCTCAATTTTAAAGCTTAAGTGGCAAAAGAGGAAAATCCGTAGTAATTAAAGAAAAGTCAAAACATAGAAGGGGAGGTACACAAGCTCCACAATTAATCAATTTTGTAATTTCCATATATCTGATACAATGCAACATGATTACTCTTGCCTTCACTGAAGTAAATGAATG